CTACTCATCTCTTCATCACTATCTGTTATTTGACCTGTCTCAGTTTTTAATGGACCTATCCTTTCCCTAGTCTTAGTACGATATAACTGAAAAAACCCTTTAGGATTTGTCTTTGCTTGCCCTGCTATGCGAACTTCATAGTTTCTTTTTGCTTTCCTTATCTCTTTTTTAACATTTCTAACCAGTTGTACGAATTCCTGTTCTAAAGTGACCTCCCCATTTTTAATCCTTTTGTACCAAGCTCTCTTTTTACCTATAAGGTTCTTCAAATTCTTTGTTATCCACTTTGGGTCATTAGTATTCGATCTATTCAATTTGTATGGTATACTACGTTCCTGTGCTTTGTTTAGAATATTCTTAAATAAGTTATATATTGAATCCACATCGAAATCCCCATTTAAGTCACCTATCGCTGGGTTCATGTCTCGCTCCAAGACCGGCCCACACCCCATACCCAAGACTTTCCAATCAATTTGACCCAAAAAATTTCTTAGGCTATTAAAATCAGCTTTACGAAAATCTGGCACTTTAACAGAATTTTCTCCTACTGGTCTATTCCATTCTATGCTAAATCTGATTTCTTTGTGATCACTGCTCCCTAGCTCACTCCCTATTTCGATGTCATTAATTTGCGTTTCCCTGTTAGTTAACACTAAATCTAAAATATTATTTTCCCGTGTTGGTTCCTTAATGTGTTGCGTAAGAAAGCAATCGTCAATTAATTCTAGAAAATCTTCTGCTTCACTATTCCCTGTTTTGTTCAACCAGTTTATTCCGCTAAAATTAAAGTCACCCATGACATAAATACTGTTAGATCTAGATGCTCTAGATATTTCATCCCATAGATGCTTTGCTTCCATTCTGTCTAAATTTGGTGGCCTATATATTACTCCTATTATAATATTATTAGCTTTTTCGTTTAATTCAATCCAAATAGTTTCTGTGTGTGGCTCTGTTTTGATTCCCTCTTTGAGACTACATTTCAAATTGTCCCTAACATATATGGCTACTCCACCTCCTCGTCTAATATATCTATCTGTGTGAAATAGTTTAAATCCATATATTTGATATTCAGCTAATAGTTCTCTATTTTCTACATTCATCCACGTTTCGGTAAGTGCAATAATATCTATTTTTTCTGTGCAGACAAGAGCATTTAATTCGTTAATTTTATTTCTTAGACTTCTACTGTTAGTGTAATATACCCTAAGTGAATTGTTATTTTGCGGACCTTCTCTTTCCCTGGTCGTTTTGCCAATTCCTTTCTCCCACAAACACATACTTTTATTACCTCCTTCCTCCAAATCAATTCCCATACCTCTATCTACTAACAGTTTAAACCCAAACAAACACCTCTAACCACTTCTTCTAACGAGTTCGCAACAGCAACAACCCCAGCTCTCGATAGATGCACCCCATCACGAGCATACATTTCATTTCTTCCATAGAAGTGTTCCCAGTTGTCTATGAAAGATATTGCATTTGATTTGCAATATCTTTCCAGCCGGCAATTGACACCAAGTGCCCTCGATATCCATTCATTTCCCACTCCCTTTCTTGGAAGAATGCCACATATGATCGGGATTCCTCCCTTGCTCCTAACTAACTCTATGGCTGTTTTATACCTCTGAATCAGTCCCTCACTCCTAACTCGACCAACATCATTTCCTCCCACGCTAATGCAAATAATGGGATTGTTCCCATTACCAGCCATAATATCATTCATGTTGTTTATAATATCACCAATGCCAGCTCCGGGATAGCAAACCCTTAACCTGTTCCCCCTATCTCTAGCACAAAACGTTCTATCCAAATACCTTATCTGGGAATCTCCCACAACTAATGTTTGCTTAGGTACTTCCTTTACCCTCTGAGGGGCCTGCGCTTCCTTTCTCTTCGTTGCTTTCCCTTTTGCGCGATCCACAGTCTCTCCACAGCACTCGTCCTCCAAAACGTCAAATGAATTAGAGGTTGCTATGGCGTTTGAAGGCGGCTTTATCAAAGTCTTCTTAAGGCCCCTGTCTTTCACAACTCTCCAAGACGAGGTCCCTTTACTGCTGGTCTCCTCCTTCGTTACTTCTCGTTGTTCTTTAAGCTGACGCACCTCCTCCCGCAGAAAGTCCAACTCTGTCCTCATTTATCAGCATTAAACTGCATTTAATGCTTTGACCATTTCAAAACCCTATCTAGATCAACTTGAAGTGATAGTGAGTCCTCCGAATTAATTTCCCTACCGATTTTCGTATCATCGGCAAATTTGCAAATGTTGCTACTCAAACCTGAATCTAAATCATTTATATATATTATAAACAACAGAGGTCCCAGGACAGAGCCCTGAGGTACTCCACTAACAACATTATCCCACTCTGACTTAACCCCATTTATACTAACTCTCTGTTTCCTTTGGAATAGCCATGCCTTAATCCAAGTTAATATAGCACCCCCAATACCATGAGCTTCTATTTTTTTAATTAGTCTTTCATGTGGCACTGTATCAAAAGCTTCGCTAAAGTCAAGGTACACAACATCACAATCCTTACCACTATCAACTGCCTCAACTATGCTGGAATAAAAAGTTAGCAAATTTGTTAAACATGAACGGCCATTTGTTAGATCTAGATGCTCTAGATATTTCATCCCATAGATGCTTTGCTTCCATTCTGTCTAAATTTGGTGGTCTGTATATAACTCCTATTATAATATTATTTGCTTTTTCGTTTAATTCTATCCAAATAGTTTCTGTGTGTGGCTCAGTTTTGATTCCCTCTTTGAGACTACATTTCAAATTGTCCCTAACATATATGGCTGCTCCCCCTCCTCGTCTAATATATCGATTTGTGTGAAATAGTTTAAATCCATTTATTTGATATTCAGCTAATAGTTCTCTATTTTCTACATTCATCCACGTTTCGGTAAGTGCAATAATATCTCTTTTTTTCTGTGCAGACAAGAGCATTTAATTCGTTAATTTTATTTCTTAGACTTCTACTGTTAGTGTAATATACCCTAAGTGAATTGTTATTTTGAGGCCCTTCAATTTCCCTGATCATTTTGCCAATTCCTTTCTCCTACGAATACATACTTTTATTACCTTCTTCTTCCAAATCAGTTCCCATACCACTATGTACTAACAGTTTAAACCCAAACAAACATTACAAGTCTTTCATATGAAGAAAGATTAATAAAGCTTAAATTGCATTCACTGGAAAGGCGAAGAGTTAGGGGTGACATGATAGAAGTTTACAAGTGGATGAATGGACATAACAAAGGGGATATTAATAGGGTATTAAAAGTATCAACTCAAGACAAAACACGAAACAATGGGTATAAATTGGACAAGTTTAGATTTATGAAAGACTTGGGTAAATACTGGTTCGGTAACAGAGTTGTTGATTTGTGGAACCAACTACCGCGTAACGTAGTGGAGGTGGGGTCCCTCGATTGTTTCAAGCGCGGGTTGGACATGTATATGAGTGGGATTGGGTGGTTATAAATAGGAGCTGCCTCGTATGGGTCAATAGGCCTTCTGCAGTTACCTTTGGTCTTATGTTCTTGATTTGTGTAACCAATTACCGCGTAACGTGGTGGAGATGGGGTCCCTTGATTGTTTCAAGCGTGGGTTGGGATATATGAGTGAGATAGGGTGGTTATAGATAAGAGCTGCCTCGTATGGGCCAATAGGCCTTCTGCAGTTACCTTTATTCTTATGTTCTTATGAACGTGTCCAGCGTAGGATGACTAAGTTATTTCCCCAAATTAGAAATGTTTCCTATGAAGAAAGATTAACAAAGCTTAAATTGCATTCACTTTAAAGGCGAAGAGTTAGGGGTGACATGATAGAGGTTTACAAGTGGATAAATGGACACAACAAAAGGGATATTCATAGGGTATTAAAAGTATCAACACAAGACAGAACACGAAACAATGGGTGTCAATTGGATAAATTTAGATTTAGGAAAGACTTGGGTAAATACTGGTTCGGTAACAGGGTTGTCGATTTGTGGAACCAATTACCGCGTAACGTGGTGGAGTTGGGGTCCCTCGATTGTTTCAAGCGCGATTGGACATGTATATGAGTGGGATTGGGTGGTTATAGATAGGAGCTGCCTCGTATGGGCCAATAGGCCTTCTGCAGTTACCTTTGTTCTTATGTTCTTATTATGATAAATGTACATCCGCCGCTCTAATTTTCAACACGTTAATGTTGCAAACTTCCAAGACTTTATCCACAAAAGAATCATGAAAACTGCAGAAGACCCATACGTGGCAGCTCCTATTTATATCCACTATTTTCTTTCGTGAAGAATTTTCAAACTCTTAATTATACTCTTTTCTGCAAATTCACCTAGAAACAAGAGCTCCTTAGACACAGACTCTCAACAGTTTAACCCCACATCTTTCTCGTCACTTGTGAGGTATCTGACATGGAAAGGTAATGTTATTCTATGTCTTTAATTGATTTTTTCTAAATCATCTTGTGTCTCTTTTTGTTCCAGTATTTTCTACCAGGGAGAGTTGAACATTATAATCGTAAATTTATGAACGTTTATAATTAAACGCCACTGGGTTTACCTTTTTCGTCGTCATTTGATGAGACAAAACTGGCATTTCCAAACCATATGCTCCCAACGAAAACACCTCACGTATCGGTTCCTCAATATAGTTAGCCAATTTCCTGTAGCTGATGTCCCTCTTGCCGGGTGTGGTCAGGATACGTTAGCTTGGTGAGGTGTGTTTGCTGATATAGACGGTTCTGTGATGGTCCTATCATATATTTCTAAGTCTGTGATGTACACCTCTGTCGTGTGAGTAGCTCTGGGTATAAAAGTTGCCAGGATAGCGTAGATCATATTCACTTAAAAAAATCTACCACTTACGGGCTGTTCATGCCCGTGTCACCTCTTGGGTGGCTTAATCTTCATTAATCATCAATCCTATATCAACTACAGTTCTTTTGACCACAGTTGTTCAGTTGTTTTGGGTGTACAGTTAACACCGTAATGGCAAGCTCCTCAACTCTCATGGACATAGACGACAATACAATTGATAGGACAGAACGAGACGAAGTCTTCATGCTCTCTATCGCTAAGATGAACATCATGGAGACGACATTTGGGAATGTCAGCCTGCGGAAATACGTGTCGGTCAAGAATACCAGAGCGTGTATCTTCCAGGAGATAGTAGCGGAATTCCATAAGGGGGTGCAGGACCTTCGGCAGGAGAGGAAGCTCGTGAAGCGCCGTCCAACGTCAGTTTTGGTGTGATCGTTCTGGCTATCAATTACAAGTGTAGGTAGCTGGGAAGTGAAAAAGAACTGTAGCACTATATTAGTCGCATTGACCCTGAACACCTGTAATACTGTATATCTTATGTGCATTTTCCTCAATAATAAAACAAAATGAAGCAAATTTCAGTACACTTTTTCAACTAAACTATAAATACTATTTGTTTACAATTCTTCATAGAGGTAACTATATATTACATTGAAATGCTTGCCCTGGAGAATGATCAGGTTACTGTTATTGACGATTCGCTAATATATTTATTGAACAAAGCCACACGGGCCGTGACGAGGGTTCGTGACAGGTGATCCCAGGAACGCTCTAGTCCTTGAGGGTGTAGTAGTACCCCGGATCGCAATTCTTTTACCATGTCGAGGAGCAGTCGACTAGAGCCTGCCGAGGAACACCCTGCACATAGGATCGAACTTCGAACCACCCAGGATCATAAGAACGAATAGAGGATAGTATCAATTGTTCATTGATATATCGCGATAATGTGATTTCTCCGTGTAATATATTTATTGGTGAATCGTCATTATTTTCAGACAACAGTTTTGTTTCATACAACATATCCATGTAATGTTTAATATTATTGAATAGGGTGAGAGTAGCTTGAGCTATCTCCTCCCTCTGTGTGTATTTATACCTCAATAAACTTATTTTAATTTCAATTTCAAGTTTATTATGATTTCCTTATGACCTCTATTCTCCAGCCCGCTTCCCACCATGATATTATTATTAGAGTCTTTCTGTTTTATAACACTATATATTAACTATTATTTTCACATTTTTGGTTCCAATCATCAACTAGTTCTTAAAAAAATCTTGTTTCAATATTCCATGTTGAGTTAGTTTCGTTTATTTTACAACACTAAAGTCCTTAAACAAAAATATTGTTAAACCGGGAGGCCGAATATATTACTTTCCTTATATGCTCTCATTCTATTCTGTCCACGTATGGTGGCCTATACAGTATATAACTTTTATTATGATATTAATATTTCTATTTAATTATATTGCAATAATTTGTCTGCCTCAGTTTTGGCTCTCTCTCTGATCAGAGAGAGAGCCAAAACTGAGGCAGACAAATTAGACAGAGAAGTGCATTCACGTCATCTTTTTTTGCTTCTAATATTCGTGCTGTTTGTGTTCGTGTGTGTCCGATCTTTTCATTTATTTCCCAAAATTTATGTATTGGTTTTACAACTTTCGTTTCTATTTTTTCTGTACGTTGTCCTTAACAAGAAAATTTATTTTATTTGCCTCCACTAGAACCATATTGTTTGTTATTGTTTTTACATTGGGCAGTTTTCACTGCCCGAGTTATCTTTCTTCTGTTTTTACTCCCATGCCACTATCTGCTAACTTTTGAAGTCCTGTATAATCTTTCTCCAATCAGTTCGCAAAAGCTATCACCATTCCTCTATAAAGATGAACCCAATTCTTCATTCATGGTATTCTTGCTGATGTTTGAGTCCCAGTTATCCATGAATCATATGACATGTTCTGGCATTACTTTTCCAGACGTAAGTTTAAATTAATCGCATTCGACATTCACTCACTGCACACTCTCAACCTTTCTTTATAATTCTGTCGAAGTTGGTGGTCGTAACTCTAATTATCTGGCTATCAGTGTTTACATTTAATTGTGCTAAATAGTTTCTGTATTTGTCTCAATTAGAATTCCCTCTTTGATGCCTACTTTACATCTTATCGGACATGCTTCTCCTCCACCTCTTCTAATCTCTATATCAGTGTGAAACAATTGTATTTCTTAAATTTTTGTTCCATTAATGGTTCCCTGACTCAATTATGTTTGACAGAAAAATGAGGATGAGTAACAACCTGGTTGACCAGTCCAGCAACCAGAAGGCCTGGTCAAAGACCGGGTCCCCGGAGATGTTGATTCCCGCAGCCAACTCACAGTAACCGCAAGGTAAGGTAAGGGCCGTTGAAATTTAAATTAAAATTTTATTGAGGTATAAATATACAAAAAGGGATGAGGTAGCTCAAGCTATACGCCTCTTGTGTCATGTGTAAGACACAACATTCTTGATTTACCTGGGGGCCAATAACCCTAGTGGTCTCCAAGAGGACGGAAAGCCAGCGGTTTGTCAAAGGTCCTTGATCGTTTCCGTGACTCCTCAAGTCAGAGGACCCTAAACACCGCCACTAGTGTGTAGCTTATAATCGTGCTGTCTTGAAGCAGGTAACATGTGCCATGGGCTAGGATTCTTCAAGCATTTACGTGTCCACTTACGAAACCCATGCATCTTTCTTCGATCATGGGAATTTAGTCTGTATTTATACGAGTAACGGTATGCTGTTATTGTTATAGAATGAAATAAATAAATAAATAAACAAAACAAATAAAAAATAAATAAACAAACAAACAAATAAATATATAAATAAACAAACTGCAGGAGGAGCACTTAATGCATATATAAGGACACGACCTTGCTTCTGGAAACTGACGAATATTCTGAGTATTTATCAACGTTGATGTATTTTACTCAGTATCATCAGTGTTGTGTATTACTCAATATCATCAGTGTTGTGTATTACTCAATATCATCAGTGTTGTGTATTACTCAATATCATCAGTGTTGTGTATTACTCAATATCATCAGTGTTGTGTATTATTCAATATCTTCAGTGTTGTGTATTATTCAATATCTTCAGTGTTGTGTATTACTCAGTATCATCTCTGTTGAATTATTACTCAGTATCATCTCTGTTGAATTATTACACCATATCAGCACTGTTGAATATTACTCAAAATAATCAGTATTGAATATTTTTCCGTATCATCAGTGTTGAATATTTTTCCGTATCATCACTGTTTTAATATTTTTTCGTATCATCACTGCTGAATGAGAAAATCAATTGAAACAATGAGGGGCCTCTAAGCAATGAACAAGGAACTCCTAGCCGCGCACCTTACCCCTTAACCACATGACAGAGATATGCGAGAGATAGAGTCGCTGGCACGTGAGAAAGCTTTTTTAAAAGCGATATTTTCTGATATAATATCTAACCTCAAGGTGCCTATATTTCAGAGAAAAACTTAAGAGAAGTTAATGCAAAATTTCTTTTCAAAGTAGAATGTAAAAAAAGGAATATAAATGTCAAGCTTTTCATCTCGAGGAGTGACTCGTCGACGAGAAAAGGAGACTTTGACTGTTTCATCAAACAGACCTGAAGGGACTCCATCACATTCATTCACAGTCGACACAAGAAGGAAGAAATTGGACAAAGCTGACGGACAAAGGAATGTGTTTCAGCAGCCTCCCTCGAAAAATAGATATTAGACCGGACCAGTGTGAGAGAATATGACCTCAGAGTTCTTGTTCAGTTATGACTGTTGGACCGTCTCAAGGGTGACCTTATGACCAGGACTTTGAGGAACTCTCTGTCTGGCAGTAAATGTTGAAGACGCTCTCTCCAGATGATCACATCTTTTGAAGACAAAGACGTGATTGTCTAGGAGTTTAGTTGGTGGACGAGACGCCCCATTTTAGAATAATAACATTTTAAAATATATTTTAAGATTCATTTTAATATTACAGTTTATCAAGTGTTTAGGTTCTCGGGTACTGAAATTCTCTAGGCTTAACGAAATCCCTGCAGCCCGACAACAGTCGGTCAACACCCATGCTTGGTACAAAGTGGCATTAGATATAGGGAAACGTTTTCACACGAGGCAAGTTCAAGATCAAATAAGTTTTTGAGAAAATAAAGTACATCTAAAAAATGATAGAGTAGCTTAAGCTATTTTTTCCCTCGTCTATATAAGGTCCCTCAAGGGGCTCACAAACCCGTACAGTACAATTATTAATCATATTCCATATTTACCATTCCAATGGTAATCACATTGCATACTGTGAGATCTCTTATTGATTATGCTGCCCCTGTCTGGTCTGGGTTTGGTAAAGACAGACTAAAGAATTTGGAGAAGGTTCAAAATGAAGCCATGTCAATAATCCAAAGATTATTCACATAGCCCAAGATATATTATTACAGAGATAATGATGATATGAATTTTTTTTGATGATATGATGTTTTTTTTTCAGTTATATCGAACTAAGACTAGGGAAAGGATAGGCCAATTAAAATCTGAGACAGGTCAAATAACGGATAATGACAAGGAGATGAGTAGTATTTTTAACAAATATTTTATATTTGTATTTACTAAAGAAGAACTTAACAATATGCCTTCAGCCGAACAAGTCTATGTGGGTGGGGATGAGGACAGGTTGACTAGTTTAGCAGTTACCAGGGAGGTAATGCTGATAAATGTAAAGTTCTGAGGCTAGGTAATGATGATAAAGTTACAAGATACGAGCTAGATGGTGTTGAGATTGCGAAATCGGATTGCGAAAGGGATCTGGGAGTTATGATTAGTAAGAATTTAAAACAAAAGGATCAATGCATGAATGTTCGTAATAAGGCGAATAGGACACTAGGATTTATTAATCGAAGCGTTAGTAACAAGACACCTGGTGTGGTTCTTAAGCTATATCTTGCTCTGGTTAGGCCCCATTTAGATTATGCAGTTCAGTTTTGGTCGCCGTATTATAGAATGGATATAAATTCACTTGAACGTGTCCAGCGTAGGATGACTAAGTTAATTCCCCAAATTAGAAATCTTTCATATGAAGAAAGATTAACAAAGGCTTAAGTTGCATTCACTGGAAAGGCGAAGAGTTAGGGGTGACATGATAGATGTTTACAAGTGGATGAATGGACATAACAGGGGGGATATTAATAGGGTATTAAAAATATCAACACAAGACAGAACACGAAACAATGGGTATAAATTGGATAAGTTTAGATTTAGGACAGACTTGGGTAAATACTGGTTCAGTAACAGGGTTGTTGATTTGTGGAACCAATTGCCACGTAACGTGGTGGATGTGGGGTCCCTCGATTGTTCCAATCGCGGGTTGGACAAGTATATGAGTGG